TGGATGTAGCTGTGAAAACGCTAAATATCATCAAGTTTCCATGTTTTGCGCACACACTTAACCTTGGAGCTCAAAAGCTGTACAACTGCAATACAGTTTCCAACTGGGCAGCAAGGATTCGTTCTGTGATCGTATGGATGAAGAGATCACACATGGCTAAAGTAGTCCTGAAGGAAAAGCAACAACTCCTCAGTAAGTAGTAATATGCCTACTGTTTAAATACTGTACTTTAATTGCAAGCTAACAACATACAAATTGTTAAAAATTAAGTAATAGTAATAATATTACAATGTTCAATGTAATCTTATAATCTTGTGTGTGTGTGTGTGTGTGTGTGTGTGTGTGTGTGTGTGTGTGTGTGTGTGTGTGTGTGTGTGTGTGTGTGTGTGTGTGTGTGTGTGTGTGTGTGTGTGTCTACAGAGCTTCCCCAGCACATGCTCCTTTTAGATGTGAAGACGAGATGGAACTCTCTGTTTTTGATGATGGAGAGATTTTGTGAACAGTTTGCTGCTATTCAAGCTGCAGCTATAGACCAACGGCTTAGAAAGCCCATGGAGAAGGATAAGTAATGTTTGAAAAAAAAAAAATACTTAAATAAAAATTGGTTGACTATAGCCATTAAAAGGGTTTTGTTTGGCAAATATATATATTTTATTTTGTTTATGTTGCAGACTGGCCAGAATGGGCAATGAGGACCTGAGGAAAGCAGAGGAGTTTGTGCTGCTGATGAGGATGCATTACACATCCACACTTGCTGTCTCCAGCGAAAAAAGTCCAACCTGTGGCCAGATATTGCCCATACTTCAGAAACTGCGCAAACATTACACAGTGCAGGCAGATGACTCTGCATTCGTCAGGAGCGTCAAGGAGAACATCTGGAATGATCTTTCCAAACGTTACCAGGTACAGTCACTGACATGTAATGATTAATTAATTACTATATGACAATTAATCATATACACTAATGGTTATTTATTGTCATTCACATTTTCTTGTAAATTTGTGTGGTTTGTCCTCTATTTTAAACTTAAGAATGATGATATCCAGGCATTCCTGGAGGAAGCCACTGTGTTAGATCCCAGATTTAAATCTAAAATGGACAGGGATGAAATCTGGGAGAGGGTCAGGGCATCAGCAGTGGCACTGGCATCAAACACAGAGGCAGTTGAGAAGGTATTTGAATTTGACAGTGCCTTTAACATATAGCTGTTGTGAGACCTTCCCTTCTTGCTCTGTGGTTCTTACACTGTACATTTCTTCTCAAGCTGTCAGAGCCAAGAGAGACAAAGGGGCAGGCAGAAGAAGAGAATGGAGAAAAAGAGGAGGACTACGTAAGTTTATTGTAGCTAATTGTGATGAATGTTGTTGATAGATGGCAGGGATTATTACACTATTTCATTTAAAACTAAAGCTTGTGGTTATGTGATTATTTCAGACGCCACCTGTGAAGCAGAAAAAGAGGACAGCCCTAGAGGAACTTTTCGAAGAAGAGGACAGCAAGCTGCTTTCCACGCAGCAGCAGCCCCCTGTCTCCACAGCCCAGAGAGTGGATCAAGAAATCCAGCTTTATAGAAGCCTTCCTCCCATTCTAACCAAAGACAGCACCAGTTTCTGGTGGTGGAAGAAGAGTGACACATTGCCAATGTTGTCAGCTCTAGCTGAGAAGTATCTCTGTGTCCAAGCATCCTCCACCCCTTCTGAAAGGGTGTTCTCCACTGCTGGAGACACCCTTAGTCCAGAAAGATCTCGTATCCTTCCTGAGAGGGCAAACATGATCATTTTTCTGCACAAAAATTGTTAATTTGCCAATTTTTAAATTGTTAATTTATTTTAGTAAAGTTGATAGTTGTGGTCTTTACAGAAGACTTCTTTGTATTTTTTATGTCAGTTGAATTTTGTTTCAGGTTGAATCCAAATGAGCACTGTTAATATTCCAAAAGGCACAAGCTCATCCTTGACGGTTTTCAGTCTGTGTTTTTAGTTTTTATGGCACATAAATGGCAGTTTTATTTATTTTTTTGTCTGGACCAATGAATGTGAAAATGAACAATTTCCTAATCCTAAGGCACTCTTCTTGAAAATAGTTCAAAGCACACACTAGAATGCCATGACACACTGGTTGAGAAACACTGTAGGCTGTGGTTCCCTGAATTTTACTTTGAGAAGTAGCTCACCTACTTTAAGGTTTGTTCTGAGGTTGCTAAACATAATTTGTGTATACTACTCTGCTTCTGATCAGATATTAAAGCGAGTTCAAACAAACAAACAAATTTGTACTTATTCCTTCACCCAAAGAGAATCGATAAGAGAATCGATAAGGAATCGGATCGATAAGCAATATCGATAATGGAATCGGAATCGTTAAATTCTTATCAATTCCCATCCCTAATCGAGACTTCTCTATGTCTGGCCTATCGTGGTTGTATCTGTGGTCTATCGAGACCTGTCTATGTCTGGCCTATTGTGGCTGTATCTGTGGTCTATCGAGACCTGTCTATGTCTGGCCTATTGTGGCTGTATCTGTGATCCATCGGACCTGGCTATGTCTGGCCTTGTGGCGGTATCTGTGGTCTATCGAGACTTCTCTATGTCTGGCCTATCATGGTTGTATCTGTGGTCTATTGAGACCTGTCAATGTCTGGCCATCATGGCTATATCTGTGTGGTCTAACGAGACCAGTATGTGTCTGGCTTTCGGGGCTGTATCTATAGTCTATCGCGGGGTTCGCCGGTCTCAATCCTGGGGGGGGGGGGGGGGGGGCGCCGTCCCTGCGGAGTTTGGCTCCGGCCCTGATCAAACACACCTGAGCAAGCTAATCAAGGTTTTCAGGATCAATAGAAACTCACAGGTTGGTGTGTTTTGATCAGGGTCGGAGCTGGGCTCTGGTGGCCCTCCGGGGCAGAGATTGGTGAACCGTGGTCTATCGAGTCCAGTCTAAGTCTGGCCTATCATGGCGTATCCGTGGTCTATTAAGACTTTTGTATGTTGGCTATCATGTCTGTATCTGTGCGGTCTATCGAGATCTGTCTATGCCTGTATCTGTGGTCTATCGAGACCTGTCCATGTCGGGATTATCGTGATCATATCCGCGTGGTCCGAACTTTGCAAATAATTGCCTGGTGGGCTGTCAATAAATGGATGCTTTGTTACATCATTTTATCTCCCGAGTCTTTCTGGTAGAACTAAATATTTCGTGAATCCTCTGATGAGGAGTAACGGTTGGACTGGAACAGCAGACTGGCTGAACTGCACCAGTAAGCTCTTATTTTACCCGACAGACTTCAATCCTTTATACACATAAGATGATGCTGACATTTACCCAAATATGTTAAGAGAGAAGATTACTGGGAAGAGAGTAGATTACTTTGTTAGTGGCTCATCAACACGAACCTGTCCTAAACAACACAACTCAGTGTGTATTGGTCCGTATTGTGCAAGTCAAATAAAATCAGTATTAGTAAATAGTGTCTTATTATGTTTTTTAAAGGCTGCTAGTAGATCATGGAGCGTAAATGTCATGGACAAATGGTGGGTAACACTTTATTTTACAGTGTCATTGTACTATTAATTATGCATAATTACATGCAACTGTTAGTTAGGCTACAAAACAAACAAACAAAACTCTAAACAAAAAACCCTAAACAAAACTCTAATTGTACCCTAACCCAATAGTAGTTAATTATTATTATTACTCAGTACTTAAATGTATAATTACACTAATAATGAAACTGTCGGAATTGAAATAAAACGCCGCCTGGTGAAGGAAAACTACCCTGGTTTTTTGACAGATGGCTGGTGTATACCATTTCCCTGAGTTGTTATAAATGTGTTTGCCGGATAGGCCTGGAAAGAGATAGAATGACCACCAGGAGATCCTTTAACATCCAGGTGAATTTATTTAGGACAGCTGTATCTGCACACGTGCTCCAAAATCAATTTCAAATTAAACAAACAAATCATTCAAAAAATAAAGATAAACGTTACAAAACATAAATAACACATGCTGAAAGCAGCAAAACATCAGATCTAACCTCAAGGGATAGGCCTAAGCCTCTCACAAATGAATATTCACGACTTACAGCATTAGACTGTACTAGCTCAGGCACTTGTGCTTCAGCTGATGTCATTTTTAGTGTGTGATGCTTTAAACACGGTATATATTTTCATTCTCTCTTTCCCACTAGGCAGGGATGTTGTTGCAAATTATTTTTATGGGATTTTAGCTACGCTTCAAATTTAGTCTGGGATCCTGCCTACTTAATTTCATTTTAACAAATCAATTCTTTTCTGAAAAATAAATAGGGAGGAGAGGTGCTGATGTAGCCTAATAAATTAAACAAATAGTTGGTCTCGTCATTTGGTGACTTATCTGCTACCCTAAATAAGAGATTTAAGAGTTCGGTTCAGTCCGATTCAATCCAAACGATTCAATGAAATGAATCAATTCGGATCAACATACGTCAACTTTCACTCATGCGCGCACACAGAGCCGATGCGTGCGACGCGACTGTATGCGCTGTAGCGTCGCGTTCACGCTTCTGCAATAAAGTGGAAACTGTAGATTGTCTCTTTCATTCTTTTAAACTAACAAAGGCAAACCCTCTGGTGCGGTCGCTCTCCGCCGGCTGGGAACTGGTGGATGTGACGCGAGAATGGGCGAATTCCGCTGGATTTGACTAACTGTGGAAATGGATCCCACATTCTCACTGGGAGACAAAGGTGCGAGTCAAACTATCTGTGGTGTGATCTATAATATTGTTACACTGCCAGGGCACTAGGTGGCAGTAAAGATGTATGTGGGGGGTCGAGACGGTGTTGACATTAAAGAGAGAATCGATGTGAATCGAGCGAGTCATGTCCTCATTTCTTATCATAAGAACCCAACACAACATGGTGTCAGAAGTGGAGTTATAGTAAGTTAAAGGATAGCGGACATTATATGAGAAGAGGAGGAAGTAACTGAGAAGTGGAGAAGTTGAAGTTTGCCAAGGTTAACAAGCATGTCGCGCCCGCAACGAGAACAGCAAGCGGCCGGGGCAGAACATGACGATCCTCCACAGCCTCCAGCTAAAACATGTGCAACGTTCTCAATAAACCCGCCGGAATCCTTCGACTTTTCGAAGCCACATGACTGGGAAAAATGGATAAGACGGTTTGAGCGCTTCAGAGTGGCTAGCGACCTGGATAAGTCAACAGATGCTAACCAGGTAAACACGCTAATATATTGCATGGGAGACGAGGCAGATGACGTTTTAAAAGGGCTGACTTTATCCGCCGATCAGAAAGAGGTGTACAGCTCCGTCAGAGACGGCTTCACAAACTTTTTCGTGCCGAAGAAAAATGTGATTTACCAAAGGGCTAAATTTAACCAGCGAGCACAGGGGCCGTCCGAATCTGCTGACTCGTTTATTACAGCTTTATATGCACTGGCTGAAGATTGTGAGTACGGGGCACTGCGCGATGAACTGTTGAGGGACAGGATCGTAGTGGGCATCAGAGACAGTTCACTTTCTCAGAAAATGCAGATGGAGAGCAGGTTGGATCTGGCAAAAGCCATTATTATGGTTAGACAAGCAGAGGACATTAAACGTCAACAAACAGATCTGAGAGGGGATGCTATACATGCTAGTAAAACTACTGTGGATGCTGTCCACACAAGGAAAGCAAAGTTTCAAGCATGGAAAAACAAAAAACAGCCTGCTAAACAATATAAAGACAAGCACGAAGCACAATCAGCAGCTGAGCATAAGTCATGTCCCAAATGTGGAAATCTGCATGCTAAGTTCCAGTGCCCAGCAAAGTATGCAGACTGCCACAACTGCGGCAAGAGAGGACACTATGGCAAAGTGTGCAAGGCTACTAAAAGTGTGAGTGCTGTCACGGAAGATAGTGACATATTCCTGGGAACCATTGATGCAGGAGAAGATGCATGGACAGTAGACTTACAAGTAAGGAATACTAATGTGAGGTTTAAAATTGATACAGGAGCGGACGTTACAGTCATACCGGAGCAGGTGTACAGACAAATATGCAGTGGCACCGCACACAACCTCACCCCAGGAAATAAAGCTCTGTTTGGGCCAGGCCGTGTACCTCTCTCGGTAGTGGGTGTAGCCAGAGAAACACTGAAAAATGGAGATAAACGCACCACAGAGGACATTTATGTAGTGAAGCACTTGAACACGGCTTTGCTGAGTAGACCCGCCTCAGTTAACCTCAGACTGGTAGCCAGAGTGGATAGCATTGACTTGGACGCTGTAAAACGGCAATATCCAAAACTGTGCGGTGGGTTGGGTCTAGTCCAGCAGCAGTACACAATCAAGCTTAGACCAGATGTCAAGCCTGTTTCTTTGAAAGTGCCTCGTCGTGTCCCACTGCCCTTGATGGGGAAAGTAAAGCAGGAACTCCAGCGCATGGAGCAGCTAGGAGTCATCAGCCGGATAGAGCAGCCGACAGAGTGGTGCTCTGGCATGGTGGTCGCACCAAAGAAAGCAAAGGATGAAATCCGGATCTGTGTAGATCTCTCTCCCCTCAACAAAGCGGTGTGCAGGGAAAAGTTTATCCTCCCATCTGTGGACCAGACGCTTGGCATGCTGTCTGGAGCAAAGATATTCACCAAACTGGATGCCAATATGGGGTTTTGGCAGATCCCATTATCAAAAGACTGTGCCCACTACACCACTTTTATCACTCCATTCGGACGCTTTTTCTTTAACCGCTTACCATTTGGTATTGCCTCCGCTCCAGAGCATTTTCAAAACCGCATGGTAACGGAAGTGACAGAAGGCTTGGAAGGGGTCGTCTGCCACATGGACGATGTCCTTATATGGGGTTCCACACAAGCTGAGCATGACACAAGGGTGCATGCGGTGCTGCAGAGGGCACAGGCAGCAGGCATCACACTGAATACAGCCAAGTGTGAGTTCAGCAAAACCAAGGTGAAGTTTCTTGGATACATCATCTCAGCTTCTGGGATATGCCCTGACCCAGAAAAGACACGTGCTGTACGTGAGATGGATCCGCCACACAACGTCAGCGAGCTCAGGAGCTTTCTGGGAATGGTGAATCAATTAGGCAAGTTTGTGCCGAACCTGGCTGAAAAGGACAAAGCCCTCAGAGACCTGCTGTCAAAACAGAACCTGTGGTATTGGGGGCCAGAACAGCAGAAGGCATTCACCAGTCTCAAGCATGAGTTAGCGTCCACTCCAGTCCTGCAGTTATATGACCCAAACAAAGAACTGAAAATATCAGCCGATGCCTCGTCATATGGGCTAGGCAGTGTACTTCTGCAGAAATGCAAGGGGATCTGGGCACCTGTGGCTTATGCGTCCAGGGCGCTCACAGGCACGGAGCAGCGCTATGCTCAGGTGGAGAAGGAAGCACTGGCCCTGACATGGGCATGTGAAAGATTCAGCGACTTCATCATCGGTCTTCATTTTGAGCTGGAGACGGATCACAAGCCCCTCGTGAGCCTGCTGGGAGGACAAGCGCTGGATTCCCTCCCACCGAGAATACAAAGATTCAAGATGAGACTCATGAGGTACATGTATACAATCAAGCACGTCCCAGGGAAAAGCCTTACTACAGCAGACACATTATCACGGGCGCCGTTGAAGGATGGGGGGACTGTTGCGGATGGCCTGATGGAGGAAACTAACATATATGTGGACTCTGTGATGGAACACTTACCAGCAAGCGAAGCTTACCTGTCCGAGCTGCGGAAACAGCTGAGTGCGGACAGCGTGTGCGCGGAGGTGATGAAGTACTGCATGGAGGGCTGGCCAGATCGCAGCAGACTGGATGTGCTAGTGAGACCCTACTGGACTGATAGGGCTGTTCTCAGCACTCACAATGGACTGTTATTGCGGGGCACTAGACTAGTAATCCCTTCTGTAATGAGGAATAGTGTGCTAGAGAAAATTCATGAAGGACACCAGGGAATAGTCAAATGCCGTGAACGAGCCAAGCAATCCGTGTGGTGGCCGGGGCTTAGCAGCCAAATTGGTGAGCTGGTGTTGAAATGCACAGCATGCGTTAAAGAACGTGCCAATGTGACTGAGCCTCTTATGCCTTCCAAGCTACCTGATAGGCCATGGCAGAAGCTAGGGGCTGATTTGTTTACCTTGAAAAACAAAGATTACCTGCTTGTTGTGGACTATTTTTCCAGGTATGTGGAGGTGGCCCAGCTGAGCCCTACAAGGAGTGTGGATGTGGTGATGCACCTCAAGTCAATTTTCGCCAGACACGGCATACCAGAGATTCTAGTCACAGACAACGGGCCTCAGTTCGCGGGGGCTCACATGTCGGCCTTCGCCACAGAGTATGAATTTGAGCATGTAACGAGCAGCCCAAGATACCCCCAAAGCAACGGTGAGGCTGAGCGCGCTGTCCAAACCATCAAAAACCTGCTGAAAAAAGCCATTGACCCTTACCGTGCGCTGCTGGCTTATAGGAGCACTCCTTTGAACAATGGCTTCAGTCCAGCTCAGCTGCTTATGGGGCGGCGCCTGCGCACCACTGTGCCAGCTTTCCCAGCAGTGTTGGAGCCAGCCATTCCAGACCTTCGGTCTGTGCAGTGCAAAGAAAGTAAGAGGAGATGGATGGATGCAAGCAACTACGACCGCAAACACAGAGTGAGAAATCTCTCTGACCTGTCACCAGGGGATCAAGTGTGGATCACAGACACAAGATCTACAGGTACTGTGACAGCCGCACATGAAACACCTAGATCTTACCTGGTCAGTGGACCACAGGGCACTTTGAGGAGGAATCGCCGCCACCTCACGCCCATGTCGGCAGACAACAGCAATAACACACAAGAGCATGCTGCAGGGGTTGACCTGCAGGACACTTCCACAGACACTGGGCAGGTGTCTCCGGAGTGGTCTAGCAACACTCCCCAAACTGTGAGAACCAGATCAGGCAGGGTTATCACAAAGCCAGATAGACTGAATCTGTGAAGGAAAAAATAAGCTAATGTACTAAATGGTCTAAACAGGAAGGTTTAGTCTGTTAAGTGTTATAAGAGCTTAATAGGAAGTTGAATCCTGTTTTGGTGTTGACCGTCTAGGGTGACTACTGTGTGTTCATGTGTAGCTTGGAAAACACCCCAAAGAGTTCTTTTTCTTGTTAGTGTAATTTGGTCCCTAAGAGTTTTAGGAAAAATGAGTGTTAAATAAGTACTGTAAAGAAATATGTTATAGTTGAGTATGTTTCACAAAGATATACAAGTGAAGGTAAGAGTTTTTTTAGTTTTATGTAATCTGCTGAATACTGCATAGGTCAGTCTATTTCTTTTCAAAAAGGGAGATGTGGTGTGATCTATAATATTGTTACACTGCCAGGGCACTAGGTGGCAGTAAAGATGTATGTGGGGGGTCGAGACGGTGTTGACATTAAAGAGAGAATCGATGTGAATCGAGCGAGTCATGTCCTCATTTCTTATCATAAGAACCCAACACAACATATCAAACGTCATTCACATAGCTAGTCTGGACATTTATTTAATATATGACTCTTTTTTCTTCTTATTCAAGTCATTTGATTGTTTTTGTGTCGACTCTCGACATTTCACTTGTTGATCGATCATGACAGATACCGCATTGACATCCGGCGCTAATTCAGTGATTCTTGCAGATCAATAAGGCTCATATTTCCTTATGAACCCGCTGTCGGTGGACATGACACTGTGTGTGCTGTATAAAACCACAGTACTTCATGTTCACACCATCTGACTGCAGTAAAAAGGGTGTCGGCTCACACACACACATTCAATTTCATCTCTCTCTCTCTCTCTCTCTCTCTCTCTCTCTCTCTCTCTCTCTCATTATCGCATTATACTCCTTTCACCTGGTATGCCCTTGCAGTGAAACCTCTAGGTGAAAAATAGACTCCACCTACATATATGTAAAATGTGAAAATATAAAAAGAATTTAGATTAATGGATATTTCATCATGTCATCGCTAAATAATCCCATCCCTAAATAATCTTATTTCCTTTAAAGGGGGTGATTGATTGTGATTTCTATTTTTCATTTTAAATATTGTGTAATTTTGCTGTTGGTGCATGAACAGTATCTGCAAAGTTGCTGCACTTAAAAAAGTTCAACGTAAGCAAATACTGTATATCGTCTTTTAAAAATCAGGAAGTTTAATGGCTACAAAAATGACTCGAATGGGACTACAACAAGATACTTACCGGTGTTGTGCCGAATTTCGACCCCCGTCAAATTATTATTCCCCTGGCATTGTTAGGTTTTGGATTAGTTGTGGGGGAGAGGATTAGGGGCGGGGTTGGGATTAAGCAATCAGGTACTGATTACCCTTCGAGGGGGGTAATAATTTGACAGGGGTTTGAAATTAGGCACAACAAGCCATATGCCGTCGAAAGTGTATTATTTTCACCCAGCTGTCAGGTATTCTGTGTTTGGGCTTCCTACGGATGCTGTAGTTCGTCAACAATGGATACAATTTATGTTTGATTTTGTTCCTGAAAATTACAATGGTAATTTCTGCGCATTTTACGGAAGACAGCTTCCAGAATCTCCACAAATTCAATGCTGGATTTAACAAGAAACTGTTACTAAAACATGATGCAGTTCCAACTGTAAAACCAGAGGCAGCAGTTGTTTTTTATTTATTTTTTTTAATTTAACCTTTATTTAACCAGGTAAGCACGTAGAGAACACTTTCTCAGTTGAAATGGGGACCTGGCCAAGATAAAGCGAAGGTGCATGATATACAAATAGTTACACTTTAAATTATACAAATTACACTTTAAATACACGAGAAATAAAATTTTAAACTAAAATACAACATTTTCTGGACAATAGAATAGACCAAGTCGGTACATAAACAATTAATGGAGCACAATCTATAATAAAAGCTTTAAATTATTATCTAAAAATTAGCAAGACAACTCGATAAGTAGTAAATTGGGCATGATTGTGCAGGATAATTGTTCAGATTCTAACACATTAGATAATGTGCAGGACAGTGCAAACATGGTACCAAAAGATAGAAAAAAAGCAGTAAACCACACCTTTAACATTGATGAGTCTGGCCATCATAATTATGAATCTTCATGCTTTCACAATAATGTGTGTGTGTGTGTGTGTGTGTGTGCGTGTGTGTGTGTGTGTGTGTGTGTGTGTGTGTGTGTTCTTCTGTTTGTTACATTATATTGATCACTTTCAGATTCTTGTAAACTTGTTTTCATGAAAACTGCAGTTGATGTCAATATCTCTATACAAACATTTCAGTCTGGACAGATGAACATGTTCTCTGCTGTTCTGAGATAGTGACTTCAGTGTTTCTGTGTACACAAAAGAGCAGATATCTGGATAAAGGGAACAAAATGAGAGTGAGAACGATGGTCTGAGATAGTTCATGTGTAGTATTTGTGTATAGAGTTGGATAGTTCTTTTACTGTGAGCTGCCTCCAAATAAGTATGTTAACATTATTTAATGATAAGAATTTCAGAAGCGACAACTACAAACCCAATTCCATAAAAGTTGGGACACTGTACAAATTGTGAATAAAAACAGAATGCAATGACGTGGAAGTTTCAAATTTCAATATTATATTTAGAATACAACATAGATGACATATCAAATGTTTAAACTGAGAAAATGCATAATTTTAAGGAAAAAATATGTTGATTTTAAATTTCATGGCATCAACACATCTCAAAAAAGTTGGGACAAGGCCATTTTTACCACTGTGTGGCATCCCCTCTTCTTTTAATAACAGTCTGCAAACGTCTGGGGACTGAGGAGACAAGTTGCTCAAGTTTAGGAATAGGAATGTTGTCCCATTCTTGTCTAATAAAGGCTTCTAGCTGCTCAACTGTCTTAGGTCTTCTTTGTTGCATCTTCATCTTTATGATGCGCCAAATGTTTTCTATGGGTGAAAGACTGACTGCAGGCTGGCCATTTCAGTACCCGGATCCTTCTTCTACGCAGCCATGATGTTGTAATTGATGCAGTATGTGGTTTGGCATTGTCTTGTTGGAAAATACAAGGTCTTCCCTGAAAGAGACGATGTCTGGATGGGAGCATATGTTGTTCTAGAACTTATACCTTTCAGCATTGATGGTGCCTTTCCAGATGTGTAAGCTGCCCATGCCACACGCACTCATGCAACCCCATACCATCAGAGATGCAGGCTTCTGAACTGAGCGCTGATAACAACTTGGGTTGTCCTTGTCCTCTTTAGTCCGGATGACATGGCGTCCCAGTTTTCCAAAAAGAACTTCAAATTTTGATTCGTCTGACCACAGAACAGTTTTCCACTTTGCTAGAGTCCACTTTAAATGAGCCTTGGCCCAGAGAAAATGCCTGCGCTTCTGGTTCCCGTTTAGATATGGCTTCTTTTTTGACCTGTAGAGCTTTAGCCGGCAACGGTGAATGGCACGGTGGATTGTGTTCACTGACAATGTTTTCTGGAAGTATTCTTGAGCCCATGTTGCGATTTCCATTACAGTAGCATTCCTGTGTCAAGTCAAGTCAAGTCACATTTATTTATATAGCGCTTTTCACAATACAGATTGTATCAAAGCAGCTTCACAGTGATAACATGAAAGTAGCACAACACAGATCAACAACATTGCTAAACACTAAATAACCCCAACTGAGCAAGCTCAAAGCAAGCCAAAAGCAAGGCGACAGTGGCAAGGAACCAAACTCCATCAGATTGGATGGAGAAAAAACCTTNTTTTCGCATTTTGCACGACAAGAAGTGAAAAGCTGCCTGTGAGTGCCCTAGATTATAGATGAGACTCGCATAATGCGCATGCACTGACCGTGTGCCAGCCCAGAATAAACAGTTCTCTTTCGAGCTTGACGAACAATAGCACACACAATTATGCCAAAATGTGAGAGTTGTGAGTTGTGCTATGAGCGCGTGTGAGATCCGCGTCTCGGCAACGGGTGCTCTTAAAGGGCCAGCAGCGAATAAAGCGTTCTTTCAGTAAAGTTAAAAGAACAAAGGGAAATTAGAAAATTACTCATGATCTTGAGTAAAGAACTTTTGTAGCTTTAATAAGGATTATTATATATATAATTTATGATTCAGCAGCGCAGACTGTTTGATAATTTATTTCAATTTCTGTACCTGTTAAGACAGGAAGGGCACACAGGTAAATATGTTTTTTTATTATGGGTTTATGTGGGGATTGTTTGAAGTTCACTTAATTTAAAAGCTGTTATATATTTTTTTTAAGCCTAATAATTTTTAAAAAAGTTGATGGCTTTCAATTGATGGAATCACTGTAATGTTGGTTTGGTTGATGCATGGTTATTGATCATTATAGGTGTTATCAATCATTTATTGTTGTTGTTGTTTTTAGTTTGAGTTGAGAAATAAACATTAATCTGTGTGTGCATTTTACTTTAGAACCAAGCAAGTTGGACTCATGAAACCATTTTATTATATCGGAGTCGCAAATCGCAATTGCAATATTGGCTCAATAATGGCAATATGACATTTTCCCAAATCGTGCAGCCCTACTAAGCATAGATTATAGATACCATCCCTTCGCTATGTTCTTTTCAATGTGAAGCGTTGCGTGCTGTGACTTGGTGTTGCTTCAAGTGCATCATTCTGCACACGGGATGCGCATGATTGCTTATAATACTTTGGGGAGACAAGGGGGCGTGGCCTAAGGGAATATCACTCGTGATGTTAAGTGATGTTACCTGTTGTGATGTGTGTGTGTGTGTGTGTGTGTGTGTGAGCAGTGGCAGTTCTAGGCGGGGGCCTGGGGGGGCCAGTGCCCCTGCGACAACAAGCTTGGACCCCCTTGTGGCCCCCCTAAATGTGGAGTCAGTGTGAAATATTTTTTTTATAGTGTGTCACGCATTGAGCATGACAGTCACTCGTTTCAGTCTTTTGTCTCACACTCCCGTCACACATTGTATTTCTCATGCGGAAAAACTATTAATAATATATTTAATATAC